AGTCATCTCATCTTGGGAGACGATTCCTTTACCAGAGTCCAAGGAGAAACCTTTAACAGAGAAAGAAACAAACAACTTAGTGCTCGTATTGTTAACAAGAAAAATAAATAACCCTACTATATTAAAGTGGCATATTGGATAGAAGTTTTCTAAAACAGAGTATGATATTCTGGCAGTTCCGTGTTTCTCTTTGAACTGGTGAATGCATGTTTATAAGATTACACTCTTTCAATGTATTCCATTTAAGTTATCTCCCCCACAAAATACACTATTTCGTTGCTCAGGTCTCCATTTTGCAGACAGTAAATACAAGATAATTTTTTTTTAAACATATTGGCTTAGAAAGGACTAAACATTACCACTTGAATATAGCTTGAGTACTGCACCTTCAAGAAAATCATTATAAAACTTCTACGTACAAGTCAATAAACTCTGTTACAAGCATGCAAGATGTACTGTCCATGCTTAACATTTGACATTAAATGATGTAATACAGTAGTTGAGAATCCCTTTATCCAGTAGTGGTGAAATTGGCAACTTTAATTTATTGTGGCTCTAGTGGACACGTCTGAATGAATTTAATCTCAAGTATCTTTATAAAAGTTAATAGATTTAAAAGTACATTAAAAACGGAACAAAAACAACATAATGCATATACCGACATAGCCAATAAAGCTCAAAGTGAGATGATGCACACTGCAAGGAAGAAAATAGCAGCCAGCAGATGGTAATCTCCCTTTTCAAATACTTCACCACTACTATTGAAATTCTCAATTACAGCAATTCACAATGAGACAGTTTCAAAAAAATCAGGAAGAGGAGTCCACTTTGTGGGAGAGATGAGAGGGTTTGGAGAAATGCATCACAAATCAGTGCTTCTCTGAAGCCAGCTTATTTTACAAGTTACTCTTCATCTGAATCCCTGCTGTCACATGCTTTTACTTGCAATGTATTTGTAATGAGAATGGAAAGGAGAATATCATGTTAAAGGTCTGAAGATTGCGTGACCAGATGCTGCCACCTCAGGTGGTCACAAACCTAAGTAGCTATTCATCATTACATCCACTGATTTGTCCACCTGTATGCTGGGAGGCAACGTTTTGTACACAAACTGATCTGGATGAGTATCAGATACTGCTGTCAAAAATAGAAGACCTGTAAACATATGAGTGAAAGATTGAAAAGACAAAATCGTTGAGCACAGCAGCCATAACCACATATATTTACTGTCTAAATACAAGGAACAGCTATGCAAGGGAATGCCGGCCTTGCCTTCAAGTAGTTTTGATTACAACAAATCAAAGACAGCATTTACAGTTAGATAAATGCAACACTGCATTTATTATGAAATTGCAAAAGTTCAGTTTAGTAGACACACAGTAAACTGTTTACAGCGAAAGACACCACTACAGTGCTACTCTCCCACATGAAAAGGCTATCAGTTTGCCTTTCTGAAATAAGCCCTTGGAATTTTTTACACCCAGGAACCACTGCTCACATTTAGCTCAAGATTATTTCTGCTAATAGACATGCAGCTCTAAGTTGACTCTTTACTCAGCTTGCTTTCATATTAACATCTTTCCCATTTGTTCAACTTCTCATTATTAACACAGAAATTCCAGCTATGAGTTACAAAATTGTATCTGCTGTCAAAGCCAAAAGCACTAGATCAGTATAGCACAAAAAACCTCTACTAGAGCAGAAATGTTCTTTACACGCTGCACAGAGGCATTCTAAAAAATGGAGAGTAACCTACTCTCTTTACCAATTTATCTCACGAATGTACAGGAATATTCATTACCCTAAGGATGTATTTTTGCTTTTGTGTTTGCACAAAGCTCAAGACTCTCCTCTGGAACACGTGCACACACACACACAAAACATAAACATTCCTCATGTTACAGTATTTTTAAAAGCCTGAAAAAGGCCACCGTGGCTTTAAAGTCTTCATTTTTATTTTTTTATTTTTTTAAAAAACACTCAGGCCAGAAAATTCAGGAACTCAAATGCTAGTGAATACCACTTTTTGATACGACACAGCAGTGACCTTGTGACTAAGGATTACAGATCTAAACATGGTACTTACCATTAGACAGTGATTATAATCACTCCCTGACAATGCGTAGGTCTTCATTATCACTCTTAAATATCTTATTCCTTCAGCAGCACTTCCAGGTACCTCAGCAGAGTACCATCTTACACGTAAAAGTGGAGGAAGATGTGCATTATCCCAAACAATTCACATTTCACAGGGTCCTCACGTGAACAGCTTTCTCCTCCCATTCCATATTATTGCATCAGAGCAGATCACAAACGTTTAAGAAGCCTAAAGAGATTTACCATATGTACTTTGTCCTACCTAAATAACTGTTAGCTGGAACAGGAACTAGATTCTTATCTTGGCGGCTCTCATCACCAACTTCGTAAGGCCCATCATCAAAGATACCCAGATCATAAAATGTCTGATTCTTTTGCTCTGCACGAACCACCCCTGAAGAAGTGAAATGATAAAATAAAAGCAAATGAATGATAAGGGAGAAAAATAATAGATAAATGGTTCTCCACTAGTACTACCATGAATGAGACAGTGACTGCTGTTTAAATAGGACAAACACAGACTAGCACACTGGCCTTTCAACAGGCCATGAATTTCTAAGCTCAACCTGTGTGACAGAGCTTCTTGCTATTCCATGAGATGTAACGCAGTGATCTGGAAAACATGAGATGCTAAGAGAATTCTCAACAAAAATATGAGACTGACTTGGTCATGGACCACCCTCATCCCACTGTGCTTAATTTGCTTAAGTCTCTCTTAAAAGGGAGGTAAGTACACACAAACACAACAAAATAAAACAAAAAATACTTTCAACTGTGGCAAACACTGGGAATATATTTAGAAAATATGTATTTATTGCTTATACTGATAATATTTATTGTTCAATAAAATACGTGCTTCCCTTGTATTGACAAGAACATTTACCATTTTGCCTAGTACATACATGTTTTTCCATGGCATAAAAGAGTACTTATGGCTGGTAGTGAAGAGCACTTCTCTGCAATTAAGGTAAAGCTCTAAATTGAGTAGTTGGTCAGACTGTATTGACAGGAACAGATACGTGGAAGACTGAACCTTCACACAAGCACTCCTTGTGCCAGAGCTTAACTCAAAGACTTGGTTCATGTAGCAGGCACAGGTGTACAATGGGAGAAATTTTAATGATTTAAGGATCAGCCTTGTAAAGGAGGGAGCTCTACAGCTGCTGGTGTAACTAAGTGCAAGGGGGAAAAGATTAAGAAAAAAGACAGAGCTAGCCTCTTAGATGCTTCTCAGTATAAACATATGAAAAAAAATCTTAAGTTTTTCCCCCCCAAGTTTTGGAATATTTCCTATACGTGATATAGAGTCCCTGTCTCTTAGTCAAACTATTTGTGAAATTTTACTTGAGTAAATATCTATGCATTTAGATATGAATACAAGTAGCTTTTTGCTCTGTTCAGTTACCTTCCTGCAGTCCTCCGGTACAGAATTTGGGAAGCACTCCCTTCTACAGAATTCACAAAGAATAAAGAGAATACTGGAGAATATAAAAAATACCTCAGAGCAGCTATCCAATATGCTCAAACTCAGAGGAAAAGATTGGGCAAATAACTTCTAATTAATCAGTAACTTGTTACAGTGCAAAATGTCAAAGCAAGAACTCAATCCTACCATAAGACTAATAAGGGAAACTGCTGCTGTACATACATGAGAAGTTCCATTCATAAGTAACCCTTTATAAATATTTAAAGCTGTGAATATTTAAAGCAGTGAATATTTTTTATAGAGGAGTGAAAATCAGGTAGAATCATGAGAACCCTATAAGGTTTATTGCCCCTTCCCACCCATCAAAAAGGCAAGTAAGAACCTTGGAATGCAACATCTGCAAAAAATCTAAGAGGAAACGAGAAGGGGGTCGGTCTGGATTTAGCAGGAAGGAAGCTAGGTCATACCTTTCCAATTGTAAGTGCCTGGAGCGCCAAACACAATGTAATGGTAGTCTCTAGTAAAAGTAGCAGCAACGCCTTGTTGACAGGAGCCAAACTTCTCATGGCCTCTTAAGCGACCGTCACAGAAACTCCACACTCCGTTGTCCATATCGTCCTTAATAGTGAGATCCTGGCTCAGCACGTAGCACCTTCCAATGATATCCCGGGTTTCCTGCACTGTGTTTACATACTGCCTTTTCTCATAGCGATGTGCACATGTCTGCAAGATAGAAGACAGTAATTCTTTTTGTATGTTTGTCTGTAAGTTATCAAAGAAGGCTGGTCTCAATAAGCCATACTTCATGCTAGCAAAGTTCTCCTTGTGGACACATTTGGGCACTCTCTGCATTGCAGCACAGAATTTCCTATAAGCATCTACAGACCCAAGTCAGAGTAATCACCTTCCTGATCAGGGAAGGCAGTATAGTTAAATCCCTCTTCACTTTGGGACTCAGGGGTCTTAGCCCTAAAGCTTTCACTGATACTTAATCCCTCACTTTCAAACACAGAGTGGACAATAACCCTGTCTCTTGTAAAAAACAAAACAAAACAAAAACAACAACAACAACAACAAAAAAGCTGTGTTTCTCCGCCCAGCTATAACAGTTAAATAATCAACATGCTTGTATGAGACACAAGGAGCTGGTTCTACTACCATCCACCTTTTCCAAAGTCACTTCTTTCAGAAAAGTGCCACAGGCAGGAGGCTGAAAGCTTTTCCAGTGAGAGCAAGAGAAGAAAGAGTTGTTGTTCCTACCTCTCATGGTGGGCGTTTCATTTATGGGATAACCATCACTGGGATGGAAAAAAGCAGCAGTACTAAGTATAGGCTGTTCTCTTCCTAGGTGAAAAGTCTAACAGCTAGGTTAAAGAATTCCAATCAAATACAAACGATGATGAGCCACCAGGATAAGTAGTAACCACCAAACTACTGTAAAAAGAGGTGGACCCCTTGACAGCAGTGTTTTTTGCAGATTCAGAGGGAAGGAGGGCAAGACAAGCACAAGCAAGACAAGTTTCTCATCTGACAGAAAAATTCTCTCCCTTGGCTCCTACTAAGGCTGGAACATTAAGCAGATACGTAGCTGATACTCATTTAGGGCACTGCCCTACTCTGAGCCGTGCTACGAAGTACTGCGTGCTGCTCAACTGCATTGTGATCTTCAGGCTGCCTTCGGCCCACCTAGGAAGCACATGAACTGCGTCACAGGCGAGATGGCACTGGCTGGTGAGGAATTAACTCTATCGGACCAATTCCATCTACTTTTCCTCCCCTGGGTTCCGACTCAGACTGGAGCAGCTAAGTACTGTCCCTATAGCATCAACAACCCAGAATTGTGCCCTGAAGTTGCTTTAGTCTTGTCTTTGAAGAAGTGAGGTTAAGCTGCAAGAATATAATTAGATGGAGGAGCCTCCCTGCACCCCCATTTTATGATATAGCTGGTGTTCTGCAGCACCATGAGAGGTGAATTTGAGAAAGAGCTATGAAGCTACAAAAATAACATTATCTGCTAAATCTCAAAAGCTTTTTTCTCTCAGTAGCGTATGAAAGAATAGCCTGCATCATCATTATTAGTACAAGCTCTCACTGCAGCACGCTCTCACTTCCTAAGTCACAGTTGCAACATCCAGAGCTACATGAATACATAGGAGCAATTCAGCTGATGGCCCTCAGTAAAGTTAAGGTAAGGCTGATCATCCTAGGCAACAGGCTGAAGAAAGAAGGCTCCTTTTTTAAACTTTACCAAACTATTTTTCCTTGTTTCTGTAGTAAGCTTTTTTTAAAGAAACAATGTATCATGAAAGGAGGAACAAACAACCTGAAAATAAATTGCCTGTTCCACATCCAAGATCCATCGTGTTGCCAAGATTACAAAGAAGGGCTAACTCAGAGTTAGAAAAATAATTTAAAATGTCTACAATCTCAAGAATTTTGTTTTGCGAAGCAGACATTCAAGTCCTTAATTCTAAGAAATCACAGTTATACAGCAATGGAAATTACTTTTCAGGAAGCTGCACAGAAACACAAATCATTCAGAACATTTACAAAGATGTTTTTGGTCTACAGCATGCTAGACCTGTAGACTTACCACCACATTTCCTCCTGGCCCCTGACTTTGGACGGTTACACCCATCCATTGGTCTTCTTTGCTCTCCATCTTTGGGTCAGCTGGAGATTCAAATAAAGCAGTTAATTTTTTTTTGTCTTTGTAAGAACTTTACAGTACATGAGATAGTCTACAGATGGCAGTGTCTGCACATCCTATCACATTCCAATGCAAGCAAGTTATGTACAAACCTAGAAAAGCAACTGTATGATACAGTCAATGGAAAGGACTGCATTAGATCAGAAAAATCAGACAACTGCAGAATAAAAGCACTGAGGAACTTACTGTCTTCATCAAACACAACACGTGTGCAGCTTGTGTCTGAAGATGTGATGTCACAGCTGTACAGCCCTCCTGTTCTGTTGGCTTGTTGGGATGGAAAGGCCTTTTCCCGAGGAGCTCCAACCAGCAATCTATAGGGAAACAGAAATAACTTCAAGGGATCTGCAGAGGCAGTATTAGAAAAGAGGAAGGCAGCAGAGTCAGGAAATGCTTTCACCGTGTTGTTAGAGGTTTGATGTGCAAACATTTAAGGGGGATTTTCATCAGTCAATACAACTGCTTTCAGACTCTGCATTTGCACCACTCCCGTGCCACCACCCCCCATGAGTATTATCACAAAATAACCACAGACATGTTTATTTGCTAAATGAGAGTTTCAGTCAAAACACTTTTTTTCTTCGGATATTTTTGAGTCGCATATATGTAAACCACAGCCACCTCAACTTCCTAACTGAAACCAGCATACAGTAACAGCACCACGGTTTGCAGAAGAAATAAGAAACAATGAATTCTGCTGAAGAAAACCAAGATTGAGAAAACTGTGTGTAGATGGGTACAATACAGTGGGTGCAACCTTCCTGTGCTTCCAGACACCACTCAGTATAAATAAGTAAATAAATCTGAAAGAGATCTGATATTACATTACCAAGAGAGGAGAGTTTAAGGCTTCAGTTATAGTTTTTCTGTTGAGACACATTTTTCCACATGCTTTATAATGGCTGTGGAGCAAAGCAAACCACTCAGAAATTGGTTTTTTTTTCGGTGTTTTTTGTTTGTTTGTTTTCTCATTAAAAACATGACTTTTATTTCTATCTAACATATACCAGTCTGATCATTTAAGATCATACACATTATTGTTATTTAGGAAACATTCACTCAATATCACTAAGGTAATGAGATAAAATTGATGTCTCATAAGAAAATAAATTCAGAACAGAAAGTTACACGCGTATTGTGAAACAGTCATCTCTTCACCACTTCTACACACAAGAATTTTCCATAATTTGTGCTCACAAAGGTAAGGCCCTGAACGGTCAAACTTCAGGTAAAATATTTGCTTTTGACTGATACACACATAAAAACAGGACAGGCAGCTTGGGTGGGTTTTAGTTTACAGAGCTTTCCATTTCCCCCTACGTACGTCTGGCATCTTTTTCAAAGATTTTTTTTCCAGAAACACAGCTGTTATCACAAGAGTCTTTAATCCAAACAACCGTGCTTTTAGAAAGGCCACTAACAGCTTCATTCTCTAATTGTGGCAGCAGTACTCAGCTCTCATCTCCAAACACTTTTGCAAAGCAGCGGCTTCTGAGCTGCTCCTAATGTAGGACTTAGCTACATTTTCCCCTCCATTCTGTTATCCCCTCGGAAAGAGACAACACAAGGCTCGTTGTTGTTGTTAACACTGGCAATCAGAAATTATAGAAAGTGGGGGCTCTGATTTCCTAACTCTCAGAAATTTTTGTTTCTACTTCTTCAAAACTTGGTCCAGTTGTACCCCGTTATTAAAACACACGCCTACCAACTTTAAGCTAAAATTCCAGTCTCAGAGCAAATACATCAGTCCTGATGCTGTATTGGTTAGAATAAAATTAATTATTGCTGTATCTTAATTATCTCTTGGAGAGGGTCAAGCAGCCACTGCACCTCGCTGCCATGCCCCTGGCAGAACAGCCTAGCCAACAAAAACTTCATCTCTTCAGTTGTGCTAAGTGCCACTTCAGCCTCAGAAAAGGCATCAAAGCATCTTACTGACTTCCCCAGTGACAGATCAGACCTTTGGGCAACCATATGTGCAAAGCGTGCTTCACACAGCCACAGAACTCCAAGCAGGGACAAGGCAGTGGCAACTCCCTCCCTGGGGCCTCAGTGCTCAGTGCAAGCATCCCCACAAGTCAGATAACAGCAAAAAGGACTGTTCCTAATTAGTCCAACAGATTTGTGAATCCAAAGCAAAACACACCAGAAATAGCTTTTCATTTCAGCAAGCACCAGAGCATATTAAGCAGCAGGGTACAGTTCTGAGGTCCTGTCTGCTCTCATCGGTGACTTGTGAGAACTGCAGCAGTGGCTGTAACGTCCCTCCTGGGGAATGAAAATGACAGTGGGAACTAGGAGAAGTTCTGCTCACAGCCACCTGAACCCCCTTCAGTACTGTCCACAGAACGCCCTGGCTCTTCCAACAGGACAGCTGCAGTTCAGATGAGACAAGTGCCTCAGAAACAGAAAATCTCCAAGCTCCTGCAAGTACTCCTCTCACTCTGTGGTGAATTCCTTTCCCCACTCACAGCCTGAAACTTCCTGAGGACAACATACAGTTTTCACAACGTACTTCAAAGAACAGTTGCCAGCAATTCATGGCAGTATCTCAGGAACAGACACCAACTTGAAAGATAAGTCTGAAGGAGGGAGAACACCTTTAAAACACCTTTAACATTTTTGGCAGGAAACTCTTGTTCATCGTAGGAAGAGGCTTCCATTGAGTAAGCTACATTGTGATTTAAACAAAAAATACCGTGGTCTGCACCGAGCTCAGACACTGTGTCTTCATTCCTTGAATTCCTGTCTTTCCCACAGTATCTTCTACCCCAAACAAGGCACCAGCCTTTGCCATCTTTTCCTTAAAAGTAACAGCAATACATTGCTGGTGACAGTACTGTGCTTTAACAGGCTTGAGTAGAAATCACTGGAAGCGTTTCCTGGGTAACCAACCATTAGCCATTTCCACAAATAGGCAGAATAAAATAGTCAGTGGTGTGCGTAATTTCCAATTTTGCAGCCTTCATTGAGCACAAATGTCCAATTTAATGTTGTCTTTCTCAGTAACAACAGTGCCACTGCATGCTTGTGTTTTCAGAAGGACTCCATCAGCATGAGGGAGGCAAAGCTGGGAAGCTAAATACTGTACAACTTCTCCCACTCCTGGCTAGACAGAGAGAATCCCCAAATCCCTTCCTCCTGCACTCTGCCTCAGACCATTCCATTCCACTGATGAAGAAATGAAACTAACAGCCACCAACTGATTAAACTTATATTACCAACCCCCCAGTCACAGTACCCACACGCACACCATGTGTCCAGCAGCTCCGGGCAGAGACAGCTGATCTCCATGCGGACATCTGCCCAGAGCTTTGTCCACCTGCACTACCTGGTTCAGAGACCCCACACCACCTCTTCAGCTTCGCTCTACTCTCAAAGCAGAAACAGCAGGCATGCAGCCACTCTAGGGGAGCTGAGCGTCACCAGGGGCACCGCTTCTGCCCTCCCTCAACAAACTGTGATCATGGAGAACTTCCTCATTAGGGGACAAGTGTGTCAAGTATCCAAGCTTTAGGACAAGAACATCAAACCATAAGGCATCTCAACGTAAGTGATGTTGGTTAATGGGACAGACTGTATTTAATCCCAAGCAGTACCACCTCTGCTGTGCAAGGATCTGGCTTCTAGCAATGGAAGCAGGGACAGGTGTGGTGGTTTCTCACCAACAATCAACTGAACTCCACCAGGCCTCTCCCTCACTCCCCTCTGATGAGTGCGTATGAAAATAATGTGGAAAGAAAAAGAAAAATCACAAATAACTGAGATAAAAATTGAAATAATAAAAGGGAAAAGAAAGAAAAAACAAGCAAAGGCCATATGGAAGCAAAAAGAGAGAAAACAATTATTCTCTAGCTCCCATCATCAAGTGATGTTCAGCCACACCTCGGGAAGTAAAGCCTCAATAAGCTTGGCAGTTGTTTGGAAGAATGAACACATTCTTAACAGGAACTTCCCTTTTCCCAGCTTGTATTGCTGTGACATATAAAGTCCCTTTGGTCACCTTAAAACAACTGCCCTGGCCACATCGCCTCCCCTCTCCTACCCACTCCCCAGCATGCTGGGTTTGGGGTTTGGAGAGTCTTCATGCTGTGCCAGCAACTGCTTATTCCATAGACAAACACTGGGGAGGTACCAAAGCTGTTCCAGCCACAAGTGCAAAGCACAGCACAGTGCAGGCTGCTGTGGGTGAACTCCATCCCAGCCAGAGCCAGCACAAGGACAGGAGCACCACAGACATCCCAGCACAGAGCCCTTCCTACTCAGGCAGTAATGGGAACTGGAGCTCAACCAAGGGAATGGGCTTCTGAAAAAGCAGCTGCTCCCAGAAAAACGCAGCCAGAAATGATGCCAGTGGGGAAATTGTTCACAGTGCTTTTTGCAGATACCCACTGTTTCCAGGCTGTTATGAACAGTTATTTTAAGTGACAGGTGATTCTCCTAATCTGCTACTGCACTGCTACATTTTCCTACTACCATCGCAGAGCCATGGCCAAGTACACCATTAATCTCTGTTGCCCGGAGGCCTAGCACTTAAAGGAGTGTGATTTTCATTTTATTAGCTCAGCCTTTTTCAGGAAGCAGATTACGATAGGGGCTGGGGAAAGAAGCCAAAAGCAGCAAAAGGGCCAGAGCAAGCTACAAAGCAAAATGAACTACAAAGCTACCTGTTGTTCTGCAAAGGCCACTAATTATTGACTTTCTGAAAGTCGCATGGAAAAGCAAACACTTTCCAATGCTTTCCACTCACAGCCAAGAGCTCAATCTGTGTGGATTTAAAACGGGTTTTACAGACCTCATTTTCACTGGCAGAAAGCATTTTTCCAAAGTCCCATTTCAAAACACAGCTTTCCATTTTGCCCAGCGTTCTCTTGCTGTAAGTAGGAGATACACTGCTTGCGTTTTTGTTTTTTCTTTGAAACAGTCAAACAGCACACGAAAACTGTGTAATTCAGTAGTTTCAATTTCTCTCTTACAAACTGTACATCTCCCCCAGATTTAAAAGAAAGAGCACTGGCTCAGGAACAGACGTTATTTACTAGATTGTGTTATAATTAAACTGTGATAAAATTATTAAAGACACAGCGTTAAAGAGATTTTCAGTCAGATTTTCTCTCACAGTGGCAGTCTTTCTTACTGCATAAAATCCTCTTACAGTAATGAGAGGTTTAACTCAAAAAGTGACAAACGTGTGCTCAAAGAAAAGCTCAGGAGCCGAGGCACCCTGCTCTCAGCCACCCCGTCGGACTCCCCTGGAAATCCATGCCAACCCTGCCACCGTCGCTACTTCACTTGTGGGCAGCCATGAGGCGCTGAGCTGTGGCATCAGCAGGACCAGCTGGCGATGTGGCTGCAAGCAGTCCCAGCCAAATGCAAGCACAAAAAGAGTTCATTTCCCATCCCAGCTGGCTGCTGCTGATCCAAACATTTTTGCCTTCCCCATGCTGGACATGCTCACTCTACAGGCTCCAGTGACCAACAGGCAAGGAATTGCTGTCTTCTGTAACAAACAATTTCAGAATATAGATTTAAATGTCATCTTACTTGCAGGGTAATGCATGCCAGCTCCATTTGGACTCATAAAAATGAAGGGAATCCAGGTCCATGTTTCAGACAACGCTGAATTAATCAAAGTACAGAAGCAGCTGCTCAGAGTTCTTTTTCCAAAGAGCACCTTGGCAGAGCAGCACTGCAGCCTTCGCGTGAAGGCAGTGCTTGCTGGACTAACAACCAGAACAAGCACACACTGTTCATGAGCATGCCAAAGCCATTATAAAAAAACCCGCAGGAGTTTTAATACGGTTGAGATGTCATTCCTCTATTTCTTTCACTGGGTGAAGTAAATCATTTTCATATGAGACTAAGAAAGAAGCTCAGCACAAAGGACAGACACCTTGTCACCCCTACTGGAGGGGCAGCCACCCCTGTACTAACCAGAGCCATATCCTGCAGCAGCCCAACAGCTCCGAGACACTTGCTGCTCCCCCTCCTCCTGAGCCA